ATTCAAGCCTAAACATCTTTTTACTCACTATCCCTCCTATGTCCAAAACATCATAGTCTGGCCTGTCTGGCTTTATGTCATAAAAGTATATAACATTATCTATTCCCTTTGATTTACTCGTTCTTGCTCCTTATTATTCTTGGCACCCCCATTAGAGAACTCCTCTCTGCGACAGTGTTTCTGCCTCTAAACCATTTATATTGCTGGTCTTGCCACAATCATCTTTGCTGATACTCTTTTTTTCACTCAGAACATCTTACACTTTGCTCCACCCACTTCAACAAAGTTGGGAATGTTTTTCAGCACTGTCAGATGCTTCGGAATGTCGAAGTGCAATGTGTCTTCACATCATGCTGCAAATCCCTCCTGATTCTTGACTCATTATTCCTCACCGTGTCCCTCTTCTTAGCTAAGGCTGGTTCACTTGGCAAGATTTTAAAATTGCCCGATTATTTGCACAACCTACGGTAATAGTTTTAAAAAAAAAATAGCGCAAGAACAGTTTTGGTCATACACTTAAACAGTCTGTTTTCTCCAGCCACGCAACAGGTGCATCACACCACATACAGAACATTTAGCGATTACGTGGGATATCTTTACATTTAATTAACTCTACATCTTAAAGAGACAATTTATTCAAGTGCTACAAGATAAAATTGGGGCTGAAACTTGCACTATTATTATGCCATGTAAATCATTCTTTAGCTAATCTCTTCTTCTGAACACACTCCTAGATTTCCTCTAAGCCACTATGCCTCTATGTCTCCTTGTCAACTTTTCTTTCAGAGTATGGAGCAAGTACTCTCCTACCTGTTTCCTTGATAGCATTAGCTATGTTTGTTTTGGTAATGTGGAAGGGCCTGCTGGCCATGCAGAATCTGTTTTAACTTCTTACTACAAGCCAGTTAGCCTTCTTTTTTTGTTGCTTCCATCTCTTTGTTCTCTGCCATGTCCTTGTCCTCATCACCTTCCCCACCATCAGAGTCATTCTACACACCATGATCCTGTGCTGTCTTGCATTTCTCCCAACATCTACCTTGCAGTCACTGAGTTTTTTCAGGTTTCATCCACATATGCTTCTCATTTTCTGCTCTTCTAATTCTCTAATCTTCCTGTCTCTTCTGGAAGAAGGAACTTAAGTAATTTCCATCCTCTTTGTAAAGTTTTTCCACATTTCTGTTCTGAAACCTACACATCACTTACTTGTAACTTCTGTTCCCACCTCGCTTGTGTCTCCTGAAATTTTCACCAATTACTCGGGGTACAGTATATCCTGCATCTCTCCTCGAACTCATACAGCACCTGTGGGGCGTTAACACTTAAGACACTGAACATCACTCCTTCATTTTCAAGTTTTTTTTTGTTGTTGTTTTTTTTAGCTTGAGACTTACAATATAGCTTGGCTGAACTCGGCAGGAAACCGGAGGCCATTTGGCTGCCTTTCAGCTTGAAGGGGAACTTTTAAACAACTACTAATGTGCAATAGATAAAATCAATGTAACCTGAATGCAAAATTGGAAATTGTAAATGGAGTAAAGTAAAGGGGTCAGTATAAACTGTATGCATGTTTTTGTTTAGTTTTGTCTGTTGCTACTTGCTTTTTTAACTACCTTTATTTTCCATTTTTGGCTAATATATTTTTTTACACTGACCAGATTTTTTTTTTATTCCATTTATTCATGTCTATAGCTGTAAGAACATTCTATTTTATTATTCTATTCTATCATGTTACTTGAAAGTAAAAAATGTCAATCCTTTTTTTTATTTTAGTTTAAAAACTCGAATGTAAAACTTTTACAACTTTAGGTTAATTTTTTCCTCGTATTAAACTCCAAATGGCGAAATTCCTGCAGCTGATCAGTGTTTCAGAACAAATTTAATTGTTAATGTTAATGACCAAAATGTATAGATATGCTTTAAATCAGCTGTGAAATATATTTTAATATTGTAGTTTACATTCTTTACTTTTATTGCAAGTGAATGTCTGCTGTTGTTCAGATGCTCATCCAGGAAAACTAATCCTGCAAAATCAATGACTCAATGCAATAGGCTGGGATTCTAAGAAAAAAACTTTAACAAATCTGTCTCTATGATTTGATTGCATTTGTTCTATAAAGTGCCTTGAAATGTTGTAGGTTGGCACTAAATAAATAAACTAAACTGAATTAAATTATTTATCAACCAGCTTTGAAGTACAGCACTGAGCAATAATTATGAATTGTAAGAGGGCACCTAAGTATTTTGCTTACAGTGGCGTAATACGGCAATATTTTTTGTTTCATACACATATTTATCAACAAAAATCTCTCATGGCGTAATAGTATGGCTGGCTTCAGAACAGAAAATAGTAGAAATCCATCTGGATGTAAACTAAGGATATTTTTGCAAATGTTATTTTTATATTCATCAGCCTACATTATTTCTTTTCCAGATGTTCCACCTACAGAGTCCTCTGTATTTCCTGGAAGCTGCCCTGAAGATACCAATGTGGAGTACCAGAATAGTTACACTTGGCTGCCATATAAAGGCAATTGCTATTTGTTTGTGACAGATGAAATTGAATGGGCAGATGCAGCTAGCAGCTGTGTAAGACATGGTAAGACACTAAACTTCATTTAGAATTGTCTATTTGCACATTATAGATTGGGAAAACTTTTGCCAGTAAAGGTTGTTTTAACCAGAATATTTTTGATGGTAAGGTGGAGTTCTGACAAGTATTGAAGATCCTTCAGAGCAACAATTTCTCCAAAGCAACATAGAAGTATTCCAAGACAGCCACAACTCATTCTGGGTGGGTTTGTTTAAAACACACAAAGGTAAGATAAGTTCTTTATGCCTTTCAAATATAAGGGAAACTAATTTGGCAAACATTTTTCTAGAGTTTTAAAAATATATGATGCATTGGAACACATTCAACATATATAATTCTCTTCTTGATTTAAACAGTTTTTGTGGTTATCAATGGAAATGTAAAATTATAATTCACCAAATGTTTTACTTTTTTACAACTAGGGACATGGGCATGGTTAGATAAAACAGTCTTTGACTATAGTAACTGGGATGAAGATGAGCCTGATTCTGATTTTGGAGCTATCAGAACTACAAATGGGAAATGGAATTCAGGCCGCAGATGGCATGATAGATCATATATTTGTAAAACACCTAAAGGTAAGTTGCTTTATGATCTTAAAAAAAAAAACATAACGAAGGATTTTGGGTAATAGTTTTTTTTTTTTTTTAAGACAAAGGAAAATGTATTTCAATAAAAAGAAACTTTTTGCACAGACTATTTGAGACATTAACATAAAATGTAAAACAAAAAAACTTCATATGTTATAGAACTGCAGCAATTTTTAGATAGCTTTACAATCACTTTTACCTTTACATTGCTTTAAAATAAAATAGTCATGCATCCTGTTTGGGCTTTCCTTTCCTGAATCTCTTTGGAGGGAAAGTAGCAGATTTTTAACTTAAAAAAATGTGCATGCCAGAATTAAATAACTAAATAAAGGTTCAGGGGTCTCAGGTACAGAGCTTACATGTGTGAAAAAAAAAAAAGGCCTGAAACCTTCATATGCCTTGCTTACTAAACTAGCCCCACCCACCAGCGGCCAAAATCATTCTTGCCTGCAAATGGTCTAGCCTTGATCAATGCCCTAGGCCCTACAACTGGTGGGCCAATCACAACGCAGAGATGTGTTTGAACATTGCTTTTTAAAATATCTGCTAAACAGGGTCCAGTATCAAAGAGGCTGACTCATGCACCATAACATCTATTTCTATTTCTTTCTTTTTTTTTTCTTTTTTTTTTCTTTTCTTTCTATGGATGGTATTAACTATGAAATAATGTATAATAGCTGGCTCATTCATGAGGTGCTTTGTAAGACCCCTTGTGGTTGAATGTGGGCATGTCGTGTGCAGAATTTGAGGTCGAGGCTTGTATACAAACAATAAGTTACAGCTAGAGGATATAGCAAAAACTTATATCATGATATCTTTCTTACATTTAGTCGATACAATATACTTTTGATACCAATATAAACAATATAAAAGCCTTAGAAAAACAAACATGAAAGCCCAGTTGTTACTAAACGCAGTGTATTTGCGACTTCCTTTGAGAGTTAACAGATTTCTAATAAAACCTAAAGAGACTGTACATTCCAGTAACACAATTTTGAATTACCTAATTTATATGATACTCTATATAGGAGAACATTTTTTGAAGAGCTTCATTATTTAACGTTGTTCTTTTCTTTTTTTTGTACAGTTATACTCAATGACTTACCATCGAAATCAAGTAAGTTAAACTATTATTTCTCCATGATAAGTGGAGTTGAAGACTTCAGCATTCAGTAAAAAATGATCTCTGTCTACTTTTTAATGTGCAGAACAAGAAGGAGGTGACAATCTACGCAGCCGTGTTCACACAAGTTTGGTGGTTGTGATGCTCATTGCCATCTTCTCCACACTGATGGTTGTTGCCTTCATGGTCTACAAGAGATCTCCTCGCTCCTTCCCCACCTTTGACAATCCACTGTACTTCAATGGCGATAAATCTCCGCCTGACGTGGTTGACACTAATAAACTGATCGAGAATGCAGAACTTCCCTCAGAAAAGCTGGAGCCCATTTTAACTCTGTGATTTAGGAATTTGAAAAATGAACATCTTGCAATCTAGTTTAAAATGAATTTTACTGTATACACACACAACTATGCTTATATACTGTGTTTTCACTGCATATATCCAGTAATTTAACATTTACCGTACTTGTTATTTCTCTTCCCATGGTTGAATGTATATAATGGCTAAATCCAAGGCTCGTTTAATAGATGCTGTTTATTGCTATTACTGTGTTAATGTACGAATAAAGTCACTAGATGTCACTGTTAAGAAAAAGATACTAAAGCTTTTCACTATTCTACCATTTATTTTTTATAATGTTTAAACATTGTAGTATATCCTCTTGTCATCAGAAAATATAAAATTTTCTGTCTCATTTTGTTGACATACCGAAAACAGATGCAGTACTATTGTGTAATAGATTTAAGACAGATATCTTAAAGTCACAATATTTAAAGCGTGTTAAATTAATCAATTCATATTTACATAATCACTGAATTTCAAGCTATTAGAGAACCATCCATCTATCTATAAATGCTTTTCTTTGGGGTCTTGAGGTACCTAGTTTTAGGTGTTATTTAGCAAGAGTTACCCCTTCTAACATAGGGAAAACAGAGATTTAGTTTATCATACAAACAACCATACATTCACATATGCAGTAAGAGCAGTTTAGAAAGACCAATTACCGTTTAAACCTGGCTTACATCGAAACAAGCCATTGCATGCTTGAATGAAGTCTCAGTCTATTCTAAGAATTTTTTAAAAAGTTTTGATAGATAGATGAATACACACACACATACATACATACATACATACATACATACATACATATATACATATATATATATATATAAATAAAAAGATAAATAGGTTACTCAATTCTTTATTTTATGGACTTCCTGATTGTAAAGAATCACAATTGCAAGAGCCCATTTCTCCTCGTGCACGCACTGTTTAAAAGTTGCTGTTCTCATACAGTACATGCTTACTGTGCCCGAACGGCCGCCCTAACCCCTAAATCCCTCAAGAATTGCATGGAATATTTTCTCTAAGAAAGATATATGTAATTTTCTAGTCCAGAAATGAAAGAAGGAAATTCTAGAAAATTCTATGAAATGTGATTTAAATGACAGATCCTAAATAACTCCAAGTTTTTTTGTTTTTTTTACTGTGTTATCTGAGATTAATTTAATCGTATCCAAATTAAGTGACTCAACTTCAATTTCAGAGACTCTGGGCCAAAGACAGTAACTTCTGATTTGTCTGCATTTGAAGGCAGAAAGTTTGGAGCCATCAAGGTTTTTATTGCCCCATTTACACTACCCCTCTCAAACCAATCCATGCTGAGTTCAGACCGAGCCTGGATCAGTTAACCATGCCGACCTTGGTTCTTACCACCATTTGCACATCACACTAGCACGATTCCTCCCCTCCCCACAATAGTACAGCTCTGAAGGCAGGAATTACGTAAACAAAAATGGCAGCGCTCATAACATTCAGAAACTTTTGTACCTGGATAGCATCCTCCGCCCAAAAACCACGCTCTTTTGATGCTGCTGTTTTATTGCTAATACAATACATTTCCATATACAGTAACTTTTATAAGTTTTGTCTTCTACTTAAAAACAAGTTATTTGACTTTCCAAAAGTGTTATCCACAATTGTTTAGTGAGATATTTCACTCCAATCAAATTCTTATTTCGAGAAGATCTTTTAATTCTACATCCTTAGTATTTGTTGTAACATTTCCGGCTGTGATATGTAATAATGGTAAAGTCTGGTGAATATTGTTCATTAAGGAAAGTACGTATTTAGAAATAAACCACAATTCATTTACTCTGAACTGTACCCTTTTTTTTTACCTGTTCTATTG